AAGGTGACATCTTTGCTCTTTACACTTTAAAGAGGTCTTTTGTGTAGATTGGCCCAATGCAATACATTGTTTGATTTCTTGAAGGAGCTCTGGTAGCATAGTGCCTAAGGCACTTGACTGCTAACCAGAAGGCTGGAGGTTCAAACCCACCAGCCACTCCTCAGAAGGAAGGTTGGGCAATCTACTTCCGTAGTGATACTGCCTTGGCAACCCAAGGAGGGGTCGCTATGAGTTGGGTCCGACTTGATGGCACATAACAACAACAATAGTTTCCGTGGATGTTGATTGTGATTCCAAGTAGTAAAATCTTTGACAACATTAATATTTTCTCTCTTTATCATGATACTGCTTATTGGTCCAGTTGTGAGGATTTTTGGATTTTTATTTTCTTATGTTGAGGTATAATACATACACCTTTAGTCTTTGATCTTCCACAGGAAGTGCTTCAAGGCCTCTTTGCTTTTAGCAAGCAAGGCTGTGTAATATGCATATTGCAGGTTGTTAGTCAATCTTCCTCCAATCCCGATGCCACATTCTTATTCATATAGTACATCTTCTCAGATTATTTGCTCAGCATACAGATTGAATAAGTATGGTGAAGGGATATAATAACCCTGATGCACACACCTTTCCTTGTTTTAAACCATGCAGTATTGTCTTCTTCTGTTCCAATGACTGTCCCTTTGTTTATGTGCACTTTCCTCATGAGCACAATTACGTGCTCTGGAATTCCGATCTTTGCAGTGTTATCCATAATTTGTTATGATCCACAGTCAAATGACTTTGAATAGTCGACAAAAGACAAATAAACATCTTCTGGTGTTCTTTGCTTTTAGCCAAGATCCATCTGACATTAGCAATGATACCATTCATTTTATGCCCTCTTCTGAATCTAACTTGAATTTCTGGCAGTTTCCTGTCAATATACATCTGCAACTGTTATTGAATTATCTTCAGCAAAATTTTACTTATGTGTGATATTAATGATATTGTTCAATAATTCCTGCATTCTGTTGGATCATCTTTCTTTGAAATGGGCACAAATATGGATCTCTTCCAGTTAGTTGGGAAGGTAGCTGTCTTCCAAATTTCCTGGCATAGATGAGTGAGTACTTCTAGCATTGCATCTATTTGTTCAAATATCCCAATAGATATTCCTTCAATTCCTGAAATCTTGTTTTTTACCAATGCCTTCAATGCAGCCTGGACTTTTTTCTTCAGTACCGTCAGTTCTCGATCGTATATTACCTACTGAAATGGTTGAATGTCAACCAATTCTTTTGTGTACAGTGACTCTGTGTATTCCTTCCATTTTGTTTTGATGTTTTCTTCATTTTCCAGTATTTTGCCCATAGAATCCCTCAGTATTGTAACTCAAGGCTTGCATTTTTTCTTCAATTCTCTCAGCTCTTAGAAATGCTGACCATATTCTTCCCTTTTGATTTTCTAGCTCCAAGTCTTTGCACATTTCATTACAATACTTTGTCTTCTTGAATCACCCTTTGAAATCTTCTGTTTGGCTCTTTTACTTCATCATTTCTTCTGTTTGCTTTAGCTACTCTACATTCAAGAGCAAGTTTCAGAGTCTCTTCTGACATCCATTTTGGTCTTTTGTTTCTTTCCTATCCTTTTAGTGGCCTTTTGCTTTCTTTATGTATGATGTGCTTAATGTCATCCCACGACTTGTCTGGTCTTCAGTCATTGGTGTTTCAGTCTTCACATCTTTTCTGGAGATGATCTTTAAATTCAGGTGGGATATACTCCAGGCCATATTTGGCTCTCATGGACTTGTTTTAATTTTCTTCAGCTTCAACTTAAACTTGCCTATTAAGCTATTGATGGTCTGTTCCACAATCAGCCCATGGCCTTGTTCTGACTAATGATACTGAGCTTCTCCATCATCTCTTTCCACAAATGTAGTTTATTTGATTCTTATGTATTCCATCCAGCAAGGTCCATTTATTTGTCTAGTTGCTGTATATGTTGTTGGAAAAAAGTATTTCTAGTGACTAAGTGAGTGGTCTTGCAGAATTCTATCATGCTATCCCTAGTGTCATTTCTATCACCAAGGCCACATTTTTGAACTACCAATCCTTCACCTTTGTTTCCAAATTTTGCATTCCAATCACCAGTAATTATGACATCAAGAACACCATCCATGAAGAAAGCAAAAGGTCATTAAAAAGACAGGAATGGAAGAAAAGAACCAAAATGGATGTCAGAAGAGTCTCTGGAACTTGCCCTTGAATGAAGAGTAGCTACAGCAAATGGAAGAAGTGACAAGATAAAAGGCTGAACAGAATATTTCAAAGAGCAGCTTGAGAAGACAAAGTCAATTATTATAATGAAATGTGCAAAGACTTGGAATTGGAAAACCAGAAGGGAAGAACATGCTCAGCATTTCTCAAGCTGAAAAACCTGAAGAAAAAATTTAAGCCTCAAATTGCAATATTGAAAGATTCTGTGGACAATATGTTGAATGATGCAAGAAACATCAAAAGAAGATGGAAGGAATACACAGAGTCACTGTACCAAAAAGAATTGGTTGATGTTCATCCACTTCAGGAGGTGGCCTATGATCAAAAACCAATGGTATTGAAGGAAGTAGTCAAAGCTGCACTGAAGGAAGTGGCGAAAAACAAGGCTCCAGGAACTGACAGAATACCTATTGAGATGTTTCAACAAACGGATGCCCCGCTGGAGGCACTCACTCAGTTATGCCAAGAGATTTGGAAGACAGCTACCTGGCCAACTGACTGAAAGAGATGCATATTTGTATCCATTCCAAAGACAGGTGATCCCACAGAATGTGGAAATTATTGAACAGTATCATTAATATCACATGCAAGTAAAATCTTAGTCAAGATAATTCAAAAATGGTTGCAGCAGAATATTAACAGAGAACTTCCAGAAATGCAAGCTGGATTCAGAAGGGGACGTGGTATCATAGCAAATGTCAGATGGATTTTGGCTCAAAGCAAAGAATACCAGAAATATGTTTACTTGTGTTTTATCGACTATGCAAAGGCATTCAATTGTGTGGATCATTAACAAATTGTGGATAACATTGAGAAGAATGGGAATTCTAGAACACTTAATTGAACTCATGAGGAACCTGTACAAGAGGCTGTCATTTGAACAGAACAAGGGGTTACTGCGTGGTTTAAAATCAGGAAGGGCGTGTGTCAGGGTTGTATCCTTTCACCGTACTTGTTCGATCTGTATGCTGAGCAAATAATCCAAGAAGCTGGACTATATGAAAAGAACATGGCATCAGGTTTTGGGGAAGGCTCATTAACAACCTGAGGTATGCAGACAACACAACTTTGCTTGCTCAAAATGAGGCAGACTTGGAGCATTTACTGATGAAAATTAAAGACTGCAGTCTTCAGTATGGATTACACCTCAGTATAAAGAAAACAAAATTCCTCACAACTGGACCTATAAGCAGCATCACAATAGATGGAGAAAAGATTGAAGTTGTCAATCTTATGTTGTCAATCTTCATATTGCTTGGTTCTACAATCAACGCCAATGGAAGCAGCAGTGAAGACCTCAAAAGGCATATTTATTGTTGTTGTTATGTGCTATCGAGTTGGACCTGACTCATAGCGACCCCTCCTTGGGTTTCCGAGGCAGTATCACTATGGAAGTAGATTGCCCCATCTTCCTTCCGAGGAGTGGCTGGTGGGTTTGAACCACCAGCCTTCTGGTTAGCACTCAAGTGCCTTAGGCACTATGCTACCAGAGCTCCCCAAAAGTCATATAGCATAGGGCAAATCTGTTGCAAAAGACCTCTTTCAGGTACTGAAGAACAAAGATGTCTCCTTGAAGACTAAGATGCACCTGACCAAGCCATGGTATTTTCAGTTGCCTCATATGCATGTGAGAAACGGACAATGAATAAGGAAGACTGAAGAATAATTGATGAATAATTGAGTTGTGGCGTTGGCAAAGAATGCTGAAAGTACCGTGAACTGGAAGAAATGCAGCCATAATGCTCCTTGGAAGCGAGAATGACCAGGCTTCGTCTGACCTACTTTGGTCATGTTGCCAGAAGGGACCATTCTCTGGAGAACGATGCCATGCTTGGTAAAGTGGAGGGTCAACAAAAGAGGGGAAGGCCCTCAACAAGATGGATTGACACAGTGGCTGCAGCAATGGGCTTGGGTCTAGTAGGGATTGTGAGGTTGGCACAGGACCAGACGGTGTTTCCTTCTGCTGTACGTAGGGTTGCTATGAGTCAGAGACAACTCCATGGCATCTAACAACAACAACAACAACCCTAGGACTCAGGGGCTTGAAGTTGTAACATATCTAAACGTCATTATTTTTCTGAAGAGTGTATATGTTCCAGTCCAAGGAGTTGTAAGGGAAAACATATAGTACCCCACTGGGAAATTCAGTGTATTTCCAATAGCTGCCTTTTTCAAGTTTGGAAAGTTGAGCTCACATCCCATTTAAAGAAAAGAATAATGAAGCGGTTGTGAGTTGTTTTCTCCGCAGGAGTACACACCCTAAGATAGAAAACCCAGGCCTTTCTCATGTAAGGAGAGGTTTTAGTTTTAGTTGTTACTTGCTTTTTGTTTTAGATTTTTTCTTCCAAAGAATTTAAGTATACTGTGGCTAAAATATAGAAGCAAAATCTGTATTTCTATCAAAAGGGTGGGGGCCGGGGAGGAGTTAAAATGGTCTACAGCCAGGCCCTGTCATGTTGTATTAGTTTGCTAAAAAGTAGACAAATAGGAGGTTTCAGCCCAAACAGATTCCCCTTTATCTTCCCCATCCTAGTCAGGACTCTGATTATCCCTCCAGTTTTTAGGAAAAAATCAAAGCATATGTCTCTTCTGTGTGCAAGTCATTGGCACAGAGCTCTGTGTTTCCAAGAGGTGGCCTTAACTGAACTTTTAAACCAAGTGTTTTCTCTCAGATTTCTCTAATGTATGTTTGGCATGAAAGTAATGGTTTAAAATATTTGTTTTTTTTTCCCTCTGTGTAAGGATTTTCTACGAAATATTCCAGGAAGCATTTTTTCATCAGATCTCTATGATCATTGGGTCTGTGTAATGGATCAAGGTAATGATGAAGAGAAAATAAATACAATTCAAAGGTAATTATTCTGATTTGGCCATATCTCAAAAATAGTTTTTTTAAAAGCTTATGTTTTCTAGACTTCTCTAGTAATGATGACAACTATCAAAGTCATGTCCATGAGAACCAGTTTAAAAATAGATTTATGCTAGCTGCTGTCCTTATGAGATTTGCTTTTTCCTTCTGAACTATTACTATGGAATACTTGACCATTGTACACCTTCTGTCTATTTAACACTGATGGGAGTTGAAATCCATGAGTCCAATAGCTAATGTCCAATAGTTAATAGCCCTATCTACAGTTTCATAATGTTAATGTTGGTAAATATTTTACCAGGTACACAATTCCTTGTATATATCATGCAGAAGTGGAATTTCTTTCAGAGATAAAAGACCTGTTTCCTCCCATCAAGGAACTCATAGTTTGGTGGAAAAGACAGGGGAATACACTGAGAGTTAAGGGGACAGAGAATCACTGCTATAGAACAGATGTGGAGGCTGCAGTAGGCACATAGCAGTAGGCACATAGGAAGAAGGTCACTCACAAAGAAGTGTGAAGGAAAAGGAGAGAGTGGGTTGCTAAGTCCCAGTCTGATCAACAAGGATGCATTGTCTATTCTCTTGCAAAGGCAAATTGCTGGCAGAACTCCCCACCTCCTGAGTATTTCCTGTATTCTAAGAGAATAGGAAAGAAGTGCCCTTTAACACAGACTCCCTAGCAATCCTTTCAGTTTGGTGAAAACCCAAGAATCCCACTAACATTAATTCGTATATGCTTGTTTAGAAGACTTTCCTTAGTATCTTTCAAATATAAATTATTACCTACACATTACTATTGACAAATTTATTTTACCAGTAGAAGAACATAGTACAGTTGTATGAGACACTAGAAACCAAAGGCCATATGACACAATATTATGTCTACTTCCATTATAGTTTAGCAGAAACCATTCAGATAGTGAGCTTCAAATTCTATAATTTGTTGCCCATAGTCTAAAACTTTATATTCTACAAACTATCATAGGATGATATTTTTAAAAAGATAAAATCATGACTTTCATACAAATATAAAATGAACACATGTAAAAGATTTTATTTAAATCATTAATGAGGGAATCAGTAAGACATTACAGCCAGTGCAAAGGAGATTTAAAAGTACCACAACTTGTATAATTCAATCAGAAATGCTTAAGTGAATTTAAATAGATTTAAAAAAAAAAAAAAAAAACTGGCTTTTTCTACAGAAGGGGTAGATAAATCAGTTATACCTTCATTAGAAAGAATTTTCAAGTCTGTAGACAAGTATTATGTGCATTGCTCAATTGTCTAAAACTTACAGAGCTATAAAAGAGCCCAAGGCTTAAGACCTCTGTAGAATCAGATAACCCAATGGGTGTGCTGAGCAATGCCTTATTTTCCATTGGACCACCCAGTAATCAGTAATCTTTTAGCTAATCTCAAAGTTCTTCATAATTTGTTCTTAAAAATTTGTACTCATTGATAGCCCATTGAGCTGAAGAAAGGACTCTCTGCTATTTGTACAGTAGGAGACAGACTATCCTTTTTCCTCCAGGTTTCAACTTCTTGTTGAAAAAAAAGCATAGCCATGAATATCAACTTGGATACATAAAATGTATTTTACATAAAGAGAGCTAAAAAATAGATACAGATGGAAACATAGATAATGTTTTCTGACAATATGTATATGCTATATATATGTGTGTATATATATATATGCTTTCTAAATGATAGAAAAATTCACTTCAGTGAACTGATGTTGAAAAGTCCCATATCTAATGCAAAATGGATACAGTGGAAAATACACTATTATAACCTAGACTTAACTATGAAGGTGATACCAGTGATATAGACATTTGGGACAAATTGACCTTGACAGCTGGTAGAACAATGAAAGGGTAGAGCAGAGTGGAAGCTCTCCAAATAGACCTGGAGTCTTAGTAGCTAAGCTTTGGGTTCTCATCAAGAGACAGTGTGCCTATGTGCTACTTGGAAATGAAGGAGTAGTTTTAATTTAATTGCTGTTTAATTTCATTAGAAAGATTTTAGGAGGTTCAGTGAGAATATTCTGAAATGTTACATAGGATTTGGCTAAGTTAAAATACACTGTACAAGTTTCAGAGAAATATTTCAGGCAGCTTTTTTTTTTTAATAAGGCATATTTTTGCATTCTTTTACATTTGCATTGGATTGTAAAGACAGTCTACAAAAAATTGTATGTGTGTGGTAGAGTGTCCCCAGTGCTTATATACAGGCAGTACTCACTTTGCATGGTACTGTGTTAACTGAAACTCTTTCATATCTGAATATTTTTGTTTTGCATAGTTCTTCATATATAGAGAGAGTTACTTCTGTTTACAAGTTTGAAAGTAAAATGTCTTGATTAAAGAGCACATTTTTCTGTCTTTAGGCTATTAGACCAGCTCCCAAGAGCCAATGTTATTCTACTAAGGTATCTTTTTGGAGTATTACACAACATTGAGCAACATTGTTCATCCAATCAGATGACAGCGTTTAATTTAGCAGTGTGTATCGCTCCAAGCATTCTTTGGCCTCCTACTTCCTCCAGCCCAGAGTTAGAAAATGAATTTACAAAAAAGGTAATGAAGTTTTTCATTTTTGTGGCCTGGGAGACTGAGGCCCCATTTTGAACCTGAAATTGAAGGCATTAATTCTGAAAGATGTATCTTAAATATCTTAATTACGCTTCCCTATACATTTGAGTTCACTGACTGTGGAGTGCAATTAGCCTATCTTGGTAGACTATGGGAAGGTAATTTGCTAAATGGAAAAGTTTTAACAGCTGGGTTACTTGATGCTAAAGCTAAACATTACAACTTACTTAAACCATAGAATAAGAAAGCAGTTGCTATGATTTAAAAAAAAAAAGGTAAGCAATAGGAGCTCTGGTAGCATAGTGGCTAAAGCACTTGACTGCTAACCAGAAGGCTGGAGGTTCAAACCCACCAGCCACTCCTCAGAAGGAAGGTTGGGCAATCCTACTTCCGTAGTGATACTGCCTCGGAAACCCAAGGAGGGGTCACTATGAGTTGGGGCCGACTCGACGGCACATAACAACAACAACAAAAGTTCAATTCTCAGCCTTATCACTTGCCAGATGTACAATTACATTGATCCACAGTTTCCTCATTTAAAAACTGGAGGCCAAGGTAATACCTACTATATGCAGTAGTTACTTGAAATCACATCCCTGTAGTGCCTGGCAGTTAATAAGGGGCTTTGAGAATAACAATTACCTTTGCTTCCAACATTCCACTTGCTTCTGCCAATTATGGCACCTTCAGAGAATTGCTCAGCTACCATCTTTGGCTCTGCAATTGGAACAAGAAAACTATTGAAAAGTTCCAGTACATCTCAGTGAAGGCACAAAGCATCCCAATAAAAATCTTACCTCTTCTGGATCCACTTCTAGTTAGGAACCTGAGGCAAAGCAGTGCGTGGAACTCTAATCAGAGAAAAGGCAAGTTTTCTCTCCAGCTGCCTCTCTCCTTCCCTGCAAATCCACAGAGGATGCCCTCTTTCAAGTTGATGACAACCTGCTTTACATAACAAATTTTATAAGTTTTTATCTAATTAATGCTTTTTTAATTAAAATGTATACTCTTCACCCTAAACACTCTATAGAAATTATTTGTAATTATTTAATTGGTATGAAAACATTAGCATTAAGCAAACCACAAATGGTAACTTTAGTTCACTGATTAAAATCAACGTAATTTCTGTATCCACGCTACTCTTGAAAGTATCATTGTTTTATAGGAGAAACTGCTTTGTATACTTCTATGTCAGAACTGAAATTTCTCAGAATTATTTTATATTTTTTACTGGAATAAAGCTTCATGTATAAAATATGATTTATAAACATGCTATGTGAAAAGCAGCACTTCATTTCTGTCCTTTTTTTGAATAGGTTTCCCTGCTTATACAATTTCTGATTGAAAATTGCTGTAGGATATTTGGAGAAGAAATCACTTCCCTCTTGAGAGAGATTTCAGTGAGATGTGATAATAGAGAGAATGCCTCAGGTACTGTGAATAATTTGATTGGTTCTTGTGAGAAATAGACCACATGTCTGTACAGAGATGGTGGAAGATACTGAGGTGGGCGTTGTCATGGAGCCACAGCAGCTGAGGTGAAGGGAGCTCCTGAGCTGGGTTAGGGGGCATCAGGCCTCTGCTCCTTCCTCAGAAGACCTGCTAACAGGTCAGGCCATATGTAACACCATGGTAGGATTAAGAAATTTATAAGATGAGGTCTCAGATTTCAAGACATTGTTAGTAGCAACATGCTATATTATGTTATGGTTTGAAATTTTTTAAAAAATAAAACTTTATGAGGGCATTTGACTGCTAACCAGAAGGGTGGCGGTTCAAACCCATCAGCCCCTCCTCAGAAGGAAGATTGGGCAATATACTTCTGCAGAGATACCACCTTGGAAACCCAAGGAGGGGTCATTATGAGTTGGAAGCAACTCGACTGCAATGAGTTTTTTTTTCAAATGTATAATAAGGAGCTCTGATGACACAGTTCCTAAGACAGTTGGCTGCTAACCCACCAGCCACTCCATGGGAGGAAGACTGGGCAATCCACTGCCGTAAAGATTTACCACCTCAGAAACCCAATGGGGGTCACTATCAGTCAGAAATGATTTGATGGCAGTGGGTTTGGAGTTTTTTTTGGGGGGGCTATGTAATAGAACTGCTGCAGTAAAAACTGAAGTGGAAGGCCCAGAGCCCGCTTATTGGTTAGTTGGTTGTTTTTTTTTCGTTCTTGTCCTTCCCCTTAGCAGTCCCTGAGCTGCTTCAGAGTTCTAGTGCACTGTATAATAGTTTGAAAGCAATAGCATCATAAGAGTTGGGGGTGGGGAGGGCTTGAAGACATACAACTCTAGAATATGAATTCCTGTACCACCAGTTACTAGTTATATGATCTTGGGCCAGTTGTTTTATCTCACTGAACATCAGTATCTTCATCCATAAAATTTGGTAATAAGAATATCTATCTTTTATGGTTATTGTATAGATCAAATAAGGTAATAGATGTTAAAGAAATTTGAGAGGGTTAGTAAAAGGTTTCCCTAAGACTAGAGTTACTTATATATAGCCACCAGAGATCTATATTAGAGGAGAGTCTTATTCAAAACCTGGGTTTCTTAATTATCTAGTGTTACTATAACAGAAATACCTTAAGTGGATGTATTTCCTCCCCATTGGGAGGCTAGAGGTGCAAATTCAAGCTGCCATCTCTAGCAGAAGGCGCTCTCTCTCTGCCAGCTCTGGAGGAAGGTCCTTGTCTCTTCTGAGCTTCTGCTCCTGCGCAGTCTTCATGTAGCTCGGCATCTCTTTTCCCCCATCTCTGGTTCTCTTGATTGCTTGTTTAATCTCTTTTTATATCCCAAAAAGAATTGACTCAAAATATCACCTACACGATTCCTGCCTCCTTAACATAACAAAGACAATCCTGAATGGGATTATAACCACAAGCAACGAGGCTAGGATTTACGACACATTTTGGGGGGACACAGTTCCATCTGTAACATTCCACCCTTTGTTGTTGTTGTTGTTGTTGTTAAGCGCCATCGAGTCGTTTCCGACTCATAGCGACCCCATGCACAGCAGAACAAAACACTGCCCGATCCCGCGCCAGCCCCACAATCCCTGCTATACTTGAGCCCATCATTGCAGCCACCGTATCAATCCATCTCGTTGAAGGCTTCCCC